TCTATAGAAAAGTTGTCTGATCCAGAACAACTCCTTCTATAGAAAAGTTGTCTGATCCAGATAAACTTTTTCTATAGAAAAGTTGTCTCATCCAATGCAAGTTTTTCTATAGAAAAGTTGTCTCATCCAATGCAACTCTTTCAAAAGAAAATTTGTCCAGTCCGGAGCAAATTTTTCTATAGTAAAGTTGTCTCATCCAGAGCAACTTTTTCTATAGATAAGTTGTCTGATCCAAAGCAACTTTTTCTATAGAAAAGTTGTCTGATCCGAAGCAAATTTTTCTAAAGAAAAGTTGTCTGATCCAAAGTAACTTTTCCTATAGAAAAGTTGACTGATCCAAAGCAACTTTTTCTATAGAAAAGTTGTCTGATCCAGAGAAACTTTTTCTATAGTAAAGTTGTCCCATCCAGAGCAACTTTTTCTATAGATAAGTTGTCTGATCCAAAGCAACATTTTTTATAGAAAAGTTGACTGATCCAAAGCAACATTTTCTATAGAAATGTTGTCTCATCCAGAACAACTTTTTCTGTAGTAAAGTTGTCTCATCCAGAGCAACTTTTTCTATAAAAAAGTTGTCTTACCCAGAGCAACTTTTTCTATAGAAAAGTTGTCTGATCCAGAGTAACTTTTTCTATAGAAAAGTTGTCGGATCCAGAGCAACATTTTGCAGTTTACGGGCAACTTTTTGTATGGGAAAAATATTGACAATTTAAATATAATATAATCAAAAAGGCAAGCATAAACTTAAATCAAATTAAATGCACTTAGCTTGACTTGATCCGTCTGTCAGTCTGAACAATTTTCTATATAGATATTTCTGTCTGTCCTGTTTATGCATCAAAACTTGTATAACAGAGTACATATGTACATACATATGAGCAAAAAATATAAATTTTTCATAGTGAGTATATTATGAGTAAATTTGTATATGAAATGCTACATATGGGAGAAGCGATTATTGCGTCTGCGTGCAGTTAGTGGCTGCACCCAAAAAACCAACACCTATTTTTGTTGTTATTGTGGTTGTGTTTTTTCATAGTAAATTCTATGTAAACTGGGAATTTTTTTGTGAAAAACATATTGGAAAAAAGTCGAAAAAAAAAGATTTTTATGTCTTTGTTTTCACATCAGGAGGTCTCTTTATCGCAATAGTTTTTCATTTTTAACACAAACTATTTCTTGTTGTTGTTGTTTTTTATAAACAAAAATATACAAAGTTGGGGAAGGAAATAAAAATAAATAAACTGCAGTTTTTTCTTAACCCTATAGGGGGATTAGCATTTTTTTAGAAGATTCTGAAGTTAGTTTTTATATAAAGAAGTTGTGAAGTTAAGTTCAGAATTGCAAAAAAAGAACAGGATAAAGGATAATGTTTTCAGTATAAGGATTAACCAAACATTATCTTTTGCTTATGGATTGGAATATAACAGGTCTATAATACTATTCCTGATCAACTGATCAACAAACGAAATTACATTAGCCACAATAATTTTGAATTTAAATAGCCTATGCTGTTAAAGGGTTTAAAACTAAGAAGGAAGTACAGAATATAAATGTCTTTGAAAACACAACTTCAAGGAAGTGATCGAATGATTCCCTTCATTTCAACAGACATTTAACCAAGAATTCTAAGATTTTTAAAAATGCATTTAAAGTTGTTTGTTATGAGGACACTGACACTAACTTCAAACATGTCTAAGGGGAAACAACATAGACGTTTAGGTGGAATAAACGAGAAATTCTTTTAGTGACTGTAAATCTAATGTCTGACACTTTCTTCAACTGTCTGTCACTCCAGCTGTCTAATAAATTAGTAACCATCTATATATCTATCTCATTTTAGATTGATTAAATTTTTCTATATAAATTCTTTATAAAATTACTTACCACATTAGAGGGTTATTATAGATTTCTTATTACAGTAAACCCTAGATAATAACAACATGAAAAATTGTCTAGGATTTTCAGAAATTATCCTCATAAAGCATTTTTCTTATTGTAAAATAAAGGGGGATTTAAAATAGCCGACAATGCTATCACAATCGGGGGCAATTAATCAGGTTTTACTGTATTTGTTATTATTAGTGTTGTTGTTATTATAATTTTTGTTTTGTTTCTACAACAATTTGTTTTGACATTTAATTGATGTATGCATGAATGCAACAATATGGTTGCATACATTAAAAGAAATCTATAAAAAATGAGGGTATTCCATACATACAGATGCATGATCAAGTAAATACATTCACATATCAATGTGTGTAAAAATGTTTGTAACGGAAATGATTGCCTTACATTGATTCAAAATGAATTATTTATAATATAAACATATAAACAAACTAAAACACTCAAATACACACATGATGATGACTGTATGTTCATATGTGCACATTAAATATGAGGTTTTGATGTTTTGACTTTTTGAAAATGCGGAAGACTCTCAAACGAAACTTCAGTTAATTGTTATATGTGAACTACAAACACCAATATTTCGATTTTCTACTACTACTACTTACTTATAGTTGGGGTTGTCTTTTGAGTAAGAAGAAAGAAAATGAAGAAAAACTCATTAAATTAAATACACACCCAAAAAACTACAGAAATAGTAAATTATTTAAACTTCTGACATTACGTTTGAGATGACACTAGCTGGGTGGTAAGTTTTTTTTAATGATTGAAAATATTAATTGGTTTTTGTGTAGATTTAAAATCGATTAAGCAATCTTCTCTTTAACACTCTTTTAGTTTGTTTTTTAATATCTATAGTCAACTTTACTGCTTAGTTTTTGATGAAAATCAACTGCCTACTTTAAGGCATATTTAATTTATTATCTTATTCATAGGTGTTTAGTTTAAAACAAATTCGTTATATACCTTTATATTAAATATTTACGCTTCACTTACGATAACTTAAATTCATTAATATATATTTTTTTTATAAATATTTTCATTATAGTTGCAGTTATTGCTAAAAGCATGTGATTTAATAAATTATTAAATTATAACAAATACTCACATGTTCATTTATGGAAATTGTTTGGATATTTACAAGGTGTTGTGTAGCTTGCTTGTTTTCTATAAAATTTATTCATTTTTAATTGCGCTTTTAAATTATTGTCTATATTTTTCTATTGCAAAAATCGTGCTAAAATATTTTGTAATTTTTTAACCATGTTAAACTATTTATTAGTTTTATTTAATGAAAACATAAAAATGACTGATTATGCACTTGGAAGGTTAAAAAATTTCAATTTAAAAGAATCAAAAGCTGTTTAAAAAAAAAAAAAATTCTCTAAAAATTCTTTCTATAGAAAATTTGGACTAAAAATTGTTTTAACAACAAATTTTCACTAAAAATTGTTTAAAAAAAAAAAAAAAAAAAAAATTGTTAAATAATCGCTTTCAGAACAAAAATTCTTTAACAGAACAATGTTTCCAGTCAAAAAAAAAGCTTTAAAAAACATTTTTTTTTTGATAAAATGATTTACTTTAGTAAAAAAAACTTTTTATTTAAAGTGATTTTTAGCACAAAAAAAGCTTTTTATTAAAACAACCATTTAGCAAAGCTTTAAAAAATATTCTTTAACAGAACAATGTTTTCAGCCAAAAAAGCTTTTAAGAAAACATTTGTTTTGATAAAATTATTTACTTTAGTAAAAAAAGCTTTTTAGTTAAAGTAATTTTTAGCATAACAAAAGCTTTTTCTTATAACAACCATTTAGCAAAGCTTTTAATTAAAAATATTTCTTTTTTAAGAGGCTTTTTAATAAAAAAGCTGTTATAGTATACAATAAAGCTTTCAAATAACAGAGCTTTTTAAAGAAGAAGTCTTTTATTAAAAGAGCTTTTTAGTTTTAATTAACATAAAAGTTTTAGTAAAATAAACGTTTAGTAAAAATAATTTTCTATCTTTTGGAAAGCTTTTAATGAAATAAATTTCGAATAAAAAGGGTTCAATTAAAAACATTTTATTAAAAAAGTGGCAAAGCTTTTAAATTAAAGATTTTTAGTAAAAAAGCCTTTAAATAATAGTTTTAGTAAAAATAATAAGACTTTTCGTATACATATACATACATATAAAAGCTTTTTAATAATACCGTTTCACAGTAAAAAAAACTTTTTCTAAAAAAAGCTTTTCAATAACAACATTTATAAAAAAAGGATTTTTGGTAATTAAGATTTTGAATAAAATGCTTGTTTGTAAAAAGCTTATTTTGTGTATAGTAAAAGTTGTTTATATAAAAAGCTTTTCAATAACACAACTTTTAAAACAGGGATTTCAGTAAAAGAACTTTTAAATATAAAGCTTTTTTAACAAAGCTTGGTTTTATCAATATTTTTAAAGGGGAAAGAAGCCTTTTAGTTAAAGAGCTTTTATATAGAAAAGCTTTTTGTTAAATATAAATTAGTAGAAAAGCTTTTTAGAAAAGAACCCTTTATTAAAAGAAACATTTTAGTAAGAAATCTTCAGTAAATATCTTTAACTGAAAGAGCTTTTTAATAAGAAGCCTTTTAGTAAAAGAGCTTTTAAGTAAAAAAGCTTTTTAGTAACAAAGATTTTTTGTAAAAAACGTATTTTGTAAGAAAGATTATTTTAGTAAAAGAAGCTTTTAAGTGAACATAATTTTATTAAAAAAGGACTTTAGTATAAAATCTCAAGTACAAATCTCAAACTGAAAACAAAACACCACAATAACTTAAAGCTTTCTCAAAACATATTTTACACTAAAAACGAAAAAAGTTATTTTGCAACTATATTCTAACGATTTTTTTCGAAACACTCACAAATTACAAAACCATTTCCTTACATTACTCTAACCAGACCTTAAAAGCCCTTTTCCTTAACACTGACACTTCCAAACCCCAAAAACATGTTGCTAAACATGATGTCAGACTAACAAACTACAACCTAAAATAACATTTATCATTTTCAAAATGACAACAAAACTAGATAAAAAGGCAACAACAAAAAGGAGGAATATAAGGAAAAAAGAACTTACCATTTCCAGCTACTAAAGCAGCAATACGTTCTTTAACACTTAAAGGAGCAGATGTTGTCGTTACTGATGCTGCTGCTGTTAAGGCCGTAGCACTACATGGTGTTGCTGTTGCTGCTGAAACTGTCAAACACTTGTTATTCGCAGGTTTATTCTCTTTAGCCATTTCGTGGACATTATTTGTGAAGGCTAAAGATTTTTCTAAAGTTAATGAGGCGGATGTTGGTGTCGTTGCTGGTGATGTTGCTGTTGCTGTTGTCGACTCATTAGCAGGACTACGTTTCACCATTGTAGTTTTAATCACAGTTGTTGTTAGAGGTGATGAAGGAGTGTTGTTAGTATTAGAACGTGGTATGGGAGAAGTTGGTGTTTTTGTTGCTGGCATTTTAGTTGAATTTATTAATAAACAAGGTAATGTTGCTGTTGCGGTATTACAGGCTTGCTGTTGCTGTTGTAGCTGTGGCAATGTTATACTATCACATTCACTAGCAATATTATTGCTACGTTTATTACGATGATTTGCCACATTCGTTTGGCTAGTAATTGTCATTTTATTGTAGCTTTTCACACAATTCGAATTGTGGCAATTTTCGTTGTTAGTTTGTTGCAAACTTTGTTGTAATTGTGTGAAGTTACGGCAATTTTGATTGAAACAAAATTGACAATTGTTACAATGTTGCTGCTGCTGCTGCTGCTGATGATGTTTGTTATTATTTATTGGATTTGAAGTTTTATTGCTAAAAGTCGTTTTACTTAAACTAGTTTTTGATTCACTTATTTCACTAAGTCTTTGGATTAATGGTGATGTTGCTGTTGGTGTGTTTGATATGATTTGTTCATTAGTTGCTGTAAAAGTGTTGTCTAAGTTCGTATTTGTCTTAAAGTTCTCACACTCTTTTCTGCTTTCAGTGTCAGTTGTTGTTGTCGTTTGTTGTTGTCTTCGATTTGTGTGTGTTGTTGTTGTTGCATTACTGCTGTCTTCATTGCCACTTTGTTTTAAAGGCTTTTTGACAGTTGATTTTCGATAAACTTCCTCTTGTTGCTGTTGCTTCGGCTGCAGTTTTTGTTGTTGTTCTTTGTGGGTGATTTCTGGAGAACATCTGTTGCTGTTGCTGCTGCTGCTAAACTTTCGTTCGTGTTCATTCGTTAAACAATTGTTTCGATTATTATGACAGCTTTTATTATGCCGCCATTGTTCTTCTGTAACTTCCTCACCCTTTACTTCTATTTCTCTTTCTTTTTCCTTGTTAACTTCTAGATCGTTTTCTTTTGCCTTAACTTTGCTACTGCTGCTGCTGCATTCAATATTTTTAATTTTATTTACAATTTCCTCCACAACATCATCATAATCATTCTCACATTCGGCCACATTATGCTGCTGTAAATTCTCTTTGTGAACTTCAGCTTCGATCAGTTGGGTTGGATGATTCAAATTGTATTTGTGTGATCGTTTAGCACTGGGCCAACTTTCAGCTCTTTTATAGTTTTTTGTATTTTCTAATGCACTTTCGTCGCCGTCGTTGTCGTCGTCTTCGTTAAGTGTGGGATCATCGATAAAGTTGAAATCGTTGTCGACGAAAATATTGCGAACGTGTAGTGTGGTGGTTAATTTGGGTTGTTTGATGTTGTAGCGACGTCGATTGGGACAACAACAGAATTTTGTTGCTTTGGGAGAGGTGGGCGATGAAAGGGGTGGTATAATTGTAGCACCATCAGACGACCATTTCTCTAACAATGCCAATTCACGAGCATTGGACATTGTCGTATAGCCATGGAGTGTGATTCTGTAAAGAAAGCAATAGAAGAAATGAAATCTATTAATATAAACAAATTAAATTAAACAGAAAAGTTTAAAACCAAATGAAATTCAAAGATCAACTCTGTCAGATTGTCTCAGATTGAAAAGTTTTTTTAAGTTTAGTTTGAAAGCGTAAAAAAAACTTATAGAGCTTTTTCCGCTTATTTTTTTTTTAATTCAATTCCATCTCTAATTCAATTTCCTTTAATTTATTGCCTCAACATATACAATTTAATAATGTCTTGGGGTTATTTAAGAAAAACTACAATGAAAACATTTAGTAGCCATGTCGTTGTCTCTTTAAATACATTGTAATATTCAATGTAATCACATTCAACGTAAAATGATTGTAATGTTTAACCTTAACACATCTGTTCAACCATAAATTTGCCACAAAACTCAAGTTAGGTGGAGAGAGAAAAAAAAAATAGTGGCAAGTTTTTAAAATAAAAATTAAATTGTATTTACATGGTTAATAAAATGCAAAGACAAAAAATGGCAAAAAACAAGAGTGTTTATAAAAAAAATTATATTAATAGGGGGATTCAAAACATTTCGGGTAATAAAAATTTCTATACAAAATTGTGGATTAAAACAATTTTAGTAAAAATTTCAAATTTTTTTGAAACAATTTTCGGTTCATTTCTTAAAACATTCTTCTTTGAAATTATTTTTCACTTTTCGAAAAAATTTTACTAAAAATTTTGTTTGTTCCCCTTTGATAGACTTCTATAGTTTTTTAGGCGTAAAAGGGGGAACAATACCAAGGGGGCACATTTCTTACCCTCATAACACCATAATCTCACAAAAAAAGTGGTGGAAAGTTTAACTTTCACAAAGAATTAGTGAATAATTAATAATTCTACAAATTTTGAGGTATCGCTATCAGAAAACTTTTAGAACAAATGGTGTCTGTTCCCCTTTAAGGGACTTGTGAAGTTTTCTGTACTTTAAAATATCTATTAGAGAAATGTTATCGTAATAACTTTCACCAAAAAGGAGTTTGTTCCCCTTTGATAGACTTCTATAGGTTTTTCGGCCTAAAAGGGGGAACAATAACAAGGGGGCACATTTCTCACCCTCATAACACCATAATCTCACAAAAGAAGTACTGGAAAAGTTTAAATTTCACATAGAATTAGTGAGTATTTAACAATTCAACAAATTTTGAGTTGTCGCTATCAGAAAACTTTTAGAGCAAGTGGCGTTTGATCCCCTTTGAGGAATTTCTGAAGTTCTTAATGCGTTAAAATATCTGTTAGAGAAATGTTATCATAATAAATGTCATATATAATGGTGTTTGTTCCCCTTTGGTAGTCTTTTATAGGTTTTTAGGTTAAAAGGGGGAACAAACCAAGGGGCACATTTCTCAACCTCATTAAACAATAACCTCACAAAAGAAGAACTGAAAAAGTTTAACTTTTACATAGAATTAGTAAGTATTTAACAATTCAACAAATTTTAAGTTGTCACTGTCAGAAAACTTTCAGAACAAGTGGCTTTTAGACCCCTTTAAAGGAATTCTGAAGTTTTTACTACTTTTAAATATCTCTTAGGCAAATCTAACCACCCTAACAACTATTAAGCAAAGACAATTTATAAGAAAAATTGTCGATTTTAAGCAAATTTAAAACAACTCTCAAGTTTAGCAATAGTTTATGGCGTTAAGTAAAAGTGTGTGCACCGACCGTACTATGTTTTTTAAAAAAAACTTCTTTAGTTTGTTGAATTAATTTTCCTGCTGGCCAAAACATATTAATCACTCATATATGTGTTTTTATACAACATATAAATATATATATTGAAATACAATTTAGTAACAAAAAAAGTATATTGTATAAAATAATAAAAACACATAAATAGTGTTAAACTTAAGCACCAACAACCAGCACATTAGGCGGTGGTGATTGCAATTTTTACAACAAAACAAAAAAACGTCGAAATTTCAATACAAAACAGTCTTAATGGCGGCGAAATACTTAAAGTTTGGAAAGGAGAAGCCGCTGTTGCTGCTGCTACATTTGCTGTTAGTTGTCTACAAAAGCTACCTGTTGCCAAATGCCCTCTAGACTTTAAATCGTTAATATAGCATCTTTTTTTCCGAGTCGGGATTGTTTATGTTTTGTTATTTTTTTGTTTTTGTCTAGTTGCTGCTGCTACGAGCTTGCTAAATAGTATTTAGTAAAATATTTGCTGCTACAGCAGTTCTTCTCTTAAGACAACTAACTTAGGCAAGAAATAAGGCAAAAAATTTGTTTTTATTTCATTACCTCTTTCTACTATTATTATTAATTGATAGTTGCACCGGCCCAAAATTTTGATCCTACACATATATTAAAACAAACCTATTGACTTAGAATCACTTTCTGAGTTGATTTGGTCAGGTCCATCCGTCGGTCTGTCCGTCCGTCTTTCTGTTCGTTCATGTAGATCTTGTAGTCAAACTACAAGCCATCCTTTTGAAGATAATACAATGAAATTTTGTATTAATTTCCTAGTTCAAGGAAGAAGCTTATTGAAAATGGTTAAAATCGGCCCATTATTTCACGTAGACCCCATATAACTAGATTAAAACCCATAATTATGTTAAATATACTTACTATTATATCTTTTAAACTTTACACAACTAAGTTTTATATAAGCCCAAATAATACAGCCGATTTTTGTCATATCGGACATCGCTTGACTCTAGACCCCATATAAAGCCTTCCCAGCAGTACGACAAAGATGTCAATACATCAGAAAAAGACAGTGATTTCCACTAACGTCTAATCTCCTGGTTGCCTCTAATTCGTCTTTGGTCACGGATGATCTCTTTGTAAACGAGGGTGAAGATAATCGTCACTTGAGTGTCCAATTTGTAAGCGAGAGAGTAGACACTTAAAAAACAAACTTAGGCCTTTTATCTGTCTCTTCGTAATCTATGGTGTGATGTATGTAGAACAAGCACATGTTAAAATAGCAACTCACCTCTGCAGTCAAGGCTAGGGGTAACCCTAAATGGTAGGTTAAATAGATAATTCGGGACTGTCCGACCGAACTGCTGGGTTTTTCACAAGTCCACTTCAGAACAGGCCTTAAACGTTTGTAAGCCACTCACTACAAACTTGATCAAATTCGATATAAATAACTTTTATATCAACATGAATCCCTTTTACATATTTGATGGAGATTGATCCATATTTGATCATTCAGAAAATAAGGTAATATTCAACATGGTGTAGCGTAACATATGTTCGTCCAAGTCCAATTAAACTTTCATACTTGTTTTTGTTTGTTGTTATGATTTTATAGATGCTGCTGCTGCAACTTAAGTTGCTCCTGTTGTTGTTGTTGCAATAGCTTTGCAATTAAATGAATCAGACCACATGCTGTTGTTGTGCACACTTAATCATTCATCGACATATTTTTATTCGCTCCAAAAAAAAAAAACTCACTCAAACTATTGAACAAATCTATAATAAAAATTTTCGGTTTTGAGATTATGCCTTTAGGACATTTTGATTATATGACTGAGTTACATAGATAAGCAGTGTTAAGCAAAAACGGACTAAATGTAAAGTGTTAAAAGACCACAAAGAAAATCTTCCACTTACAGTTCATAAATATTAAAAAAAAACTTTTAAACTTTTAACAACTCCTTTATTGTATAACTATTAAAGAATTTTGGCCAAATTCGAAATATATTTTTAAAACTGTTTCTTAATCACTTTCTGCTAACACTCCATTACTTAACCACTTTAACTAATTGTCCATTATTAACCATTAGCAAAGAAAGTATTTTCCAACCACTAAATCTAATAAACAATTTTGAAATCTCTTAAACACTCGATAATTAAAAAAAAAACCAAAAAAATTAAAAAGAAATGTCAAAATTTTAACGCCTTCATTCATACCTACTCCCCGAGAGACTGCAGCCACATTTTATGTCTAATGTATGTTCTTTGACTGGCATGACAACCAGATGGCGTTGCGGTTATTAAGCTCAAGTTGTACTGTATTTTCTTTCCATTTCGGTCTTCCATTTATGACTAGACATGCGCAATGCCTAACGAATTCCAAACATTTATGGTTAAAAAAGAAAAAAAAAAACTTTAATCATCATTATGGTTGGAATATGTTTTTGGCGTTTTATAGGAAACTAAAAGCTTAAAAGCATTTAAGAAATGTCAGTTAATTTAATAATTTGAGTAAAAAGATAATATGTAATAAAAAAATACTAAAGTTATTTTTTCAATTATTTTTTTGCTTTGTTTTCATTTGGCAAATGCGTATGGGCCTGTCAACCTTTGACTTTGGGTTGTAATTTCGTTTTTTAATAAAAGATAAAAATTAGAGAAATTTTTATTATTTCTTTTTCGTAATGGATTTGAAATTTTTAGTAGGGTTTTTCTTTCTTTAAGATAAAATGACTGAAGATAATCTAAAACTAGACTATAAATTGGACTATAGTTTAGACTATGTACATATATTCTAAAGAAAAATTATTTTTAACAACGAACTCATTTTAAAATGCTTTTCTTATAAACAACGAAAAGTTGATTAAAATTACTTTTTAATGAAGATTTTTTTGGACAATTAAAAATCTATTTAATAATATTTAAAAAATAATTTATACTATTTAGCCATTTTTGCACTTGCAATTACTTTCGACTCAACACACCAACACTTGTCATGCCAGTTGGCGATTGAATCATTAATAATAAATTAAATAAGTAAATGTTTTATTATATTTTTTTCTTTGCATTATTATTGCCGGATATCCTCTATAGCCAAATGAAGTAAGGCAAGCAGGCAGGCTTACTTTACAATCAACTACTGTAAATAAATTGTGCAAAAATAATTAATAAAAAACAAATCTGTATACAATTGTGGTTGGTTGTCTTCTACAATTGATTCGAGTTACAGTGATGCATACTAAATATATTTTTTGTAATAATCGTATTTGTAGTAGAGGCACCCAGTTAATCAGGCGACTGACTATAC